TTCTAGATTTTTTGGGGGGGACAACCTAATTGTTTTATGTTTAATCCACTAGAGTTTTACATCAATTTGTGTTAGAACAACATGAAGGAATTGCGTGGAACCTATGGTAGCTGATAATATACATTTTATTAAAAATTATATTGTTTTTTTTTTAGACTGTTGGTAATGTTTTCTGAATTATGGAGGGATGACTCCCAAAATCCCCTTTTTAAAAACCTTCGAGACTAATTTGTCAAATAAACAAAAAAAACAATCTAATTTAATACAATATTCAGATTTGTGTGCAAGAAATGCATCAAATTTAGTGCATATTTAATCAAATGATGCTTCATTTGCATATTTAAACATACCGTTTCAAAAACCCTGTAATACAAACCATTTTGAAATCCTTAATAAATCCAGGAATACATTCATTTCTCTTATTCCCCTGCAGTGTTTTGCTTACCATTAAACGATCAAGCTCTTGAGGCACACATGCTTTACATGACTTCATTCATTGTTTCTTAAACACATTCAGTCGTCTAGCTAAATGTACTTTTCTTTAGTTAAAAAATTTAATTATACTGCAAAATGTATTTGTATAGAAAAAAAACACATTCACTCCACTTCTCTGAATTGTTTTATACAGAACTGTTGAATTTATTTACAGTATTTAAGAAAACATTTTTATATTAAATGACCTAAATATGAACAGATATCAATGACTTTTTTAGGGCATAAGTAATTTAATTAAACTAACTACTGTTTATTACTGTATATTGCATATATGCCAGTATTACTACTTATTATTAGATACTAGTATTTATTTATTAGACAATGTGAACATATCTCTAAATTGACAGTTTTTCTGTATTTTGTGAATATTTTTCACTTATTTTGTTTCTTGATGTTTCCTTCAACAACGTTTAACCTTCAAAATTTTAAAAAGTGACCTTAATGAACATTTTTAATAGTTTAAAGTGATTAAAATGAGCTGAATCAACACAATTCTAGATTTTTTGGGGGGGGACAACCTAATTGTTTTATGTTTAATCCACTAGAGTTTGAAATCGATTTGTGTTAGAACAACATGAAGGAATTGCGTGGAACCTATGGTAGCTGATAATATACATTTTTATTAAAAATTATCTTGTTTTTTTTTTTTTTTGACTGTTAGTAATGTTTTCTGAATTATGGAGGGATGACTCCCAAAATCCCCGCTTTAAAAACCTTCGAGACTAATTTGTCAAATAAACAAAAAAAAAAACAATCTAATTTAATACAATATTCAGATTTGTGTGCAAGAAATGCAACCAATTTAGTGCATATTTTATCAAATGATGCTTCATTTGCATATTTAAACATACCGTTTTAAAAACCCTGTAATACAAACCATTTTGAAATCTTTAATAAATCCAGGAATACATTCATTTCTCTTATTCCCCTGCAGTGTTTTGCTTACCATTAAACGATCAAGCTCTTGAGGCACACATGCTTTACATGACTTCATTCATTGTTTCTTAAACACATTCAGTCGTCTAGCTAAATGTAATTTTCTTTAGTTAAAAAAATTAATTGTACTGCAAAATGTATTTGTATAGAAAAAAAAAAACACATTCACTCCACTTCTCTGAATTGTTTTATACAGAACTGTTGAATTTATTTACAGTATTTAAGAAAACATTTTTATATTAAATGACCTAAATATGAACAGATATTAATGATTTTTTTTAGGGCATAAGTATTTTAATTTAACTAACTACTGTTTATTACTGTATATTGCATATTTGCCAGTATTACTACTTATTATTAGATACTAGTATTTATTCATTAGACAATGTGAACATATCTCTAAATTGACAGTTTTTCTGTATTTTGTAAATATTTTTCACTTATTTTGTTTCTTGATGTTTCCTTCAACAACGTTTAACCTTCAAAATTTTAAAAAGTGACCTTAATGAACATTTTTAATAGTTTAAAGTGATTAAAATTAGCTGAATCAACACAATTCTAGATTTTTTTGGGGGGGGACAACCTAATTGTTTTATGTTTAATCCACTAGAGTTTGAAATCGATTTGTGTTAGAACAACATGAAGGAATTGCGTGGAACCTATGGTAGCTGATAATATACATTTTATTAAAAATTATATTGTTTTTTTTTTAGACTGTTAGTAATGTTTTCTGAATTATGGAGGGATGACTCCCAAAATCACCGCTTTAAAAACCTTTGAGACTAATTTGTCAAATAAACAAACAAAAAAAAACAATCTAATTTAATACAATGTTCAGATTTGTGTGCAAGAAATTTTAGTGCATATTTAATCAAATGATGCTTCATTTGCATATATTTAAACATACCGTTTCAAAAACCCTGTATTACAAACCATTTTGAAATCTTTAATAAATTCAGGAATACATTCATTTCTCTTATTCTCCTGCAGTGTTTTGCTTACCATTAAACGATCGAGCTCTTGAGGCACACATGCTTTACATGAGCAGACATGATGATGTTTGATTTGTCAGGGATCTGTTGTTGGGTGTTGGGGTGTGTTTGTGTGTGTGATGCAGGCCAGGGCGCAAAGCTCACCTCACAGGCTTTAACATGCTCATTCAACCACTCCTCTCGCATCTTCCCTAAAACAGACACATTCTGACTGTATATCCGGTCTGTTAGGCAATCAAACAGAGAAAGGGAATCAGAATTAGAAATTGAACAAATCAGTTGTGTTGTGTGTTGAACTGGACATATGTCAAGACATTTATCACATCAATATAACATACCTTTTTTTTTAGATTGTACACTAGTAGTATTTATTCATTAGCTACCAGTGCTTCTTCTTATAGAACTAATACCATATTAGTACCCTTATTACTAATATAAACTGCTCGATAAGTTAAAGTACTTCAGAAAAGTAATTAATTACAAATTACATCATTTAAAGTGTATTTAGATTACCATTACTAGGTCAGAAAAGAAATTTCTCAAATCTCAAATCTGAATGTATAAATAATCTAAATTGATCTCATTTAATTCTTTACATTTGAGTCAAAAATGGCCTTTAGTTTAATAAAATGTGTAATGCTGCATTTTAATAACAAACAACAAACAGAATTATACAGCAAAAAAACACTTAATAACAAACATTTGTATCAAAACATGACAGATTTAAAAGTAATGTTATCATATTTTATATAGTTTACAGAAATCATTTCTGACTTCATTCATTGTTTCTTGAACACATTCAGTCGTCTAGCTAAATGTACTTTTCTTTAGTTGAAAAATTAAATTATACTGCAAAATGTATTTGTATAGAAACAAAAAACACATTCACTCCACTTCTCTGAATTGTTTTAAACAGAACTGTTGAATTTATTTACAGTATTTAGGAAAACATTTTTATATTAAATGACCTAAATATGAACAGATATCAATGACTTTTTTAGGGCATAAGTATTTTAATTTAACTAACTACTGTTTATTACTGTATATTGCATATATGCCAGTATTACTACTTATTATTAGATACTAGTATTTATTCATTAGACACTGTGAACATATCTCTAAATTGACAGTTTTTCTGTATTTTGTGAATATTTTTCACTTATTTTGTTTCTTGATGTTTCCTTCAACGTTTAACCTTCAAAATTGTTAAAAGTGACCTTAATGAACATTTTAAATAGTTAGAAGTGATATATTGTCTGGGTTGGCATTGTATGTTATGCTGCAAAAACCTAGTACTAAGCTGCCAATATACATTTTCTGCTACTTTACAAATTTAGTTCTCTATATATTATTTTACAAACTAAGTTCTCTATATATTATTTCTTAAGCAATATTTTGTCACAAACAACTAAAATGTCAATAAAAGTCACTTTGTTAAACTGTAGAGTTGAATTTTCAACATTAAAAAACAGAGCATAGATCAACATCCCATAATGCAATTCACAACCGTAAATAAATGAAAAACACAAAATACGAAACTGGTAATTAACAGATATTTCCTACAGATATTTCCTACGGTCCATGCGCAGAGTGCAAAACGCAGGGCAAAACGCAGGGCACAATCGCTTTCAGGGCGTGTCAGGACGCGTTTTTGCTAATTTAAGGACGGGAAAATCTGCCTTGCGCCAAGGCGCATGGTCTAAAAGGGTTGAGTTTATTTTCTTAATGAGTTATAGGTGTGTTTTGAGAATAAACCAATTATAGTCTCATCTCCCATTCCCTTTAAGAGTCAGCTGCATCGCGCCAAGAGCGCATTCGCTATTTACAGAACACAAAGTAAGTCTATGTGGAAAAAATGAGCATTTCACAAGCAAACAGTTAACAGTTGACAGTTTTTTAACAGAAAACTGTTAAACAGAGCATGTACTGCGTGAGAATGAGAGATAATGGATCACTTTCACTTTCGCTCTTGGATAGGGAAACCTTTACGCACAGACATCAATTAGTCTATAAATAATTAATTTTGTTTGTTAAGCGCAAAGATTTGTTTCAAAACTATTTCTAAACTCAGTTCTAATTTCCAGCAAACGAATAAATGAACAATAATGACCAAGTGTGGTCAAAATACTGAGTTATTTTCAAATACACCTGCCATGCCCCATATGGTCTAAAACCTGACAGGTGGGCAAATCTAATCTTGTTCTTAATAAAACAAGTATACATATGGATATAATAAATAATACTGCTAATAATAATAACATTATACAAAAGCAAATTGTCATGAATGAACTGAAAAAGCCTCCCGAGATGAAGAAGACATAAAAGCAGTGGATTTCATATTTATGTAAGCTAGAAAATAATATGTTTTGTAATATTTTAATCCTTTATATTTATATTCTTTATCTATTCTTATTTTAACCTATATATATCCTTAATATTTACATTTTTTCATATGTAAAGATATTTGCCTATTGCTCTCTTGTGCGTATTAAGCAGTGTGTAAGCGAGGCGCAACTCTGCGCCGGAGATAAGACCGGGTTAGTTTTGGTCTAATGAAAAATCTATTATAGTTTCTCAAAATAGCAACGCGCCAGCGGTCCGCCTCAGAACTCCTTCCTTTTTAGACCAGAATGCCTATGGGCGCACAAATGAGCGCTAATGCATTTGCTATTTAAACAGCGTAGCGCAACACCTCAAAACGACTCTTGCGCCAAGCTGAAACTACCAAAAGACTACTGCGCCACGCCTTGCGCCACACTGCGCCGGGTGTATGATAGGGCCCAAAGTCTTACCTATGAAATGTTTTGCCTTTGTGCTTTGTTTTCTTTGCTTCTTACTACACCCGTAGTCAGCGCTAAAGTCCAGCATCTTCACGTAATAACACTGTCTAGACTAATGTGCTTGAATGACACTTGTCCTGGGAGCACTGTACAAATATGGCAGCGCTATTGACGCATGCTCAAAGTACCTATGTGATATCTAGTGTATATATCTATGAGCAGTTACTAGTCACTAATGAAAAAGAATTCAATAGGAACTTTTATCTGACTTGTAATCCTATGATAATAAGAACTCATATCTAACCAATATCACTCTCCTTCTTGACAATATGCACTAGTATCAAAAATAATAATAAATATTAGCACTCATATGTAACTACTGTATATACAATGTTAAAATATTTTTGAAACATTTTTAAAAAGGTTTAAGGGTTTTTTAAGCACTAAAACAACAAAAGTGTAAGAAGGACTAGAACATGTTTCTGAGTGATAATAGACAGATAAAAAGTACACACAGAAGGCACAATGTTCAATATTTCATATTTGTAAAATGTACTTTAATATTCAATGTGTCACCCAGCCTCAGTTATAACCCAAGTGTATTATTATTAATGAGTGCATTATTACTGAATATGGTAGTTCTCTTACCGGCTTCCTCTGCCGCCTGCTTGGCCTGTTGTGTTTTGGCGTACAGCTAAAAATATAAGAGAGTGACATCATTTACTCAACATCTTCTAATATGGTCTTATACATCCTTCCTGCACATAATGCCAACACCCCAACTGCTCTTCTCTCTCTCTCTCTCTCTTTGCTGTCCTCTAATAACAGTAGTTTCCTATCACCCCAATTTTGCTTTGTAAACAGATTTTAGTCAGATGGTTGACTCGCTACAAAACTTTTATAACTTCATTGTTTTAACAGCTCAAGCGTTTTGTCCTCAGGGTACCAAAAATATTGCCAACAATACTGTCATGTTTTACAATGATTCACGGCGCTGTATTTGCTCTGGCAGTCGTCTGTTCACATGCAAGGCCTTCTGGTTAGTTTTGCATGCTGATTTGTTGTGCAAACTCTCTGGAAAGATGTTGCTCTTCAAAATTCATTAATCTTTGTTTGTTCATTCATAACAGAAAGCTATCCAGATTATATGATGTCTCATAAGCAAAACAGAACTAGATTGAATTTCATTAACAGTGCTGCTTTCTTCCAACATTCTTCAAAATAGCTTTCTTTGTGTTCAACAGTAGAAAGAACTAAAACAAACTTGCAAAATGTGGAGCGTGAGAAAATGATGACAGAATGTCTTTAATCTCTTTAAAGCCCCAATAGACTTTGGCTGAGTTTATTTTGTCACCAAATTTAGTGACTTCCTCATTCCTCATATAACTTTTAGGATTTTTTTTGGCACTGTCTGCACCACAAAAGATTTTGACATCAGCCCCAGAGCCTAATGAGATGCATAAAAACTTTGTCTGGGTTTTATTTTGTTTGAAATATATCATTACACCACTTTTATGTTTAATTATTGGTATATAACATTGATATAAGATGATATAAGAATTTAAAACGTGCATTTCTCACTTTTCTCTAATCAACTTTTATGATTACATCACTGTGCGCTTCAGCATCTCATCAGATATTCTGACCAATCAAATGCTCTCCAGTCTCTGAAGCCCAGCATCCTACAAGATGCAACATTCATAGCTGAAATCAGTCACTTATTCACACGTAACCTAGCCACAAGCCAAGATTAGTCAAATGCCTCGCACACACATTCTATACACACTCAGTCAGCATACAACCTGTTAAGACATTAAGTTTAATACAGACAATTTACTTTAATTAAGTTTTATACAGATTTTATAGGGGATCAGAAAATGTAAATATGCTTTCCTTTGAGGCGAATGAAAGCTGGATTTACTTCAGTTTCACTCAAACCAGTCAGAAGCACACATGGTCTGCTCTGTTCACAGACATTATAGCAAAAGAGCGGATTATTTGTGTGAGCTGCACAGACCACAAAATGTGGACACTTTTGAATTCTGTATATTTAAACCAAAGAGATAGTTTGACAGACTCAGCATTACTATGGCTCTGACGGCCATAATCATGGCGTCTGTCACACTGATTTGCCGTCCTGCGGGTATCCTTCCCAAGCTTTCAGGCACCTGTTCTCCGGTGTTGCTGGCAGCAGCTCCTGTGACGGTACAGCAGAGGAAGATTCATCATGCCGTAGTGCCCAGTGGAAAAGGAGGCCGCTCTTCCTTTAGTGGACTCGCTGCCACTGTTTTTGGAGCCACTGGCTTTCTTGGCCGATATGTTGTCAACCGTCTAGGACGTATGGGTTCCCAGGTTGTGATCCCTTACCGATGTGACCAGTATGATCTCATGTACCTCAGACCTATGGGCGATTTGGGACAGATCATCTTTATGGAATGGGATCCAAGAAACAAGGAGTCAATTCAAAGAGCAATCTCTCACTCCAACGTGGTGATCAACCTTGTCGGAAGAGAATGGGAGACCAGCAACTACAAGTATGAAGATGTGTTCGTCTCCATCCCTCTGCAGATTGCGAAGGCAACTCGTGAAGCTGGAATTAAAAAGTTCATTCATATGTCGCACCTTAACGCAGACATTCGCAGCCCCTCCAAGTATCTGAGAAATAAGGCAGTCGGTGAGGAGGCTGTGAGAAACGAGTTCCCTGATGCCATCATTATGAAAGCCTCTGAGCTCTTTGGAAGAGAGGACAGGTTCTTGAACCACTTTGCTAACATGCGCTGGTTTGGCACAGCTGTACCTCTAATTGCACTATGAGAGTTGTGGCTGATGTGCAGCAGGTGATTGTCTCCAGAAACATGTTTTGTTGTGCTGGTTGAAAGTCTCTTCACAGTCCAATAGTAGTGATTAAAGTTAATGATCTAAATGTATTAAGTGTATTTTTATATCCTGGGTGAGGCATAAAACTAAAAAAATGTTCATCCAATTAAATATTGTTGGGCCGACATCTCCCATAATTCCGATAAGTAGCTCAAACTGTCTGTCAACAAATCCTGATTTGGGCTTTTGTGCATCTCTGTTCAAGCATATCCGCCATTAACTACACAATTACCAATAATGTGTACTATAGCTATAATACAACTGCAATACTGCACTTGCAGGCAACTGTGTTGACTGGAATAGGCATTCGACCTCTTCAATGGAGAGTTGTTTTTAGCCTGGCTTAATCATCAATCTACATTAATCTTCTGGGTACAATGCAAATACACAAAACTAAAGTAACATTTAGTTATCAATAGAAAGCACAGTCTTTTCTCTTTCCTGTTCTCACTCTCGCCCCCACACATTCACACACACAGTAAAATCTAATCAGCAGTGCCCATAAGATCTAATCAGCAACTTGCAACTTGACTAATTACCAAAACACAAAAAAAAATATCTGTACATAAACCGATCCAAGCATAGAATGTTAATAGTTAATCGTTCGGGTCAAACTGTAACCAGAGTACACTGTTATCAAAAACAAACAGACATTGGATCAACTTCAAGTTTTGTCATGAATTAAGTTTTTAAAAAATATTACTTTAGGTGTAACCAGCTAGAGTCACTTCGTAGGTTGGTTCACTTTTACATTTACATTTAGTCATTTAGTAGACGCTTTTATCCAAAGCGACTTAAAAATGATGACAAGGAAGCAACTTACACAACTATAAGAGCAACAATGAATAAGTGCTATAGGCAAGTTTCAGGTCTGTAAAGTCTAAGACGGAAAGTATTAGTAATTTATATTATAAATATAATATAATATTTATTTATTTATTTTATTTATTTATTTTTTGTGTGTGTGTGTACAGTTAGTGTGATATCCAGATAGGCAATTGCAGATTAGGAAGTGAAATTACTTTTAACTGTAATATCAATAAATCATCGAAACACTGTAAAAAGTGTGTGTAAAAGCAAGATGCGAGCCATCAAAAATAAAAACGATGCACTAAAGCAAAGCAAATTTAAAAGAAAGCATGATTCTTTCTCACAGTTATATTTATGTACCTTTTCTTGCTGCTTGGCACTGCAAGTGGTGGCACTTCTGTTCATGTTCTGCTCTGTTTCCTCTTTGTCTCTGCATTTTTGATCGTAGCTCTTCTTTGCCTTAAAAGACAATGACTGACATTTTAAAAAGTGCTGTTCATCGCATCTTAGCTGTAATACGACAATCAAAATTGTATAAGCACCTAAATGAAATCGTATATATACAGTAGTTGAAGTCAGAATTATTAGTCCCCCTGAATTATTAGTCTCCCTGTTTATTTTTTTCCCCAATATCTGTTTAATGGAGAAAAGCAACTGATTTATTTTATCTTTGCCATGATGACAGTAAATAATATTTTTCTAGATATTTTTCAAGACACTTCTGTACAGCTTAAAGTGACATTTAAAGGTTTAACTAGGTTAATTAGGTTAGTTAGGCAGGCCAGGGTAATTAGGCAAGTTATAACAATGGTTTGTTTTGTAGACTATCAAAATAAAATTAGCTTAAAGGGGCTAATAATATTGACTTTAAAATGGTGTTGAAAACAATTCAAAACTGCTTTTATTCTAGACATAATAAAACAAATAAGAAAAAATATGATTAGACATACTGTGAAAATGTCCTTGTTCTGTTAAACATCATTAGGGAAATATTTAAAAAAGAAAAATTTTATTCAAAGGGGGCTAATAATTCTGACTTCAACTGTATAATAACACATTTTACTCAACATGTTTAACATTTAACATGAATCTAATGTTAAGTTTCTTATGAACTCAAAATACTTTAATCTACAGAATTTATTTTTTAAAAAGTATGAACAAGTGTGAACAAATGACAAGTATGAACCATACTTTTGTATTAATATCTTAACTGATTTTATTTTTACATTTATTTTAATAACAATAATCAATAAAAGGTTCAATTTAAGACTTTTAAAGACATTTTTAAGATCATTATAATGATATATCTAAGATTTTAGACATACACAATTTAGACATACACAATAAAAAAAGGAATTGTTTTCTAATGGCCTAGTTGAAAAAGATTTCTCTCCCCCACCACACCCCACCCCCCATCAAAATAATTATAATATAGTTATTTCTTGACAATATATATTAAATAAGGTTTCAAAACAATTAAAGCCTAGTTGTATACATTAATTTTATTTTAACATAACCTTTTTTAAAGAGCCCTTATAATGGGTTCAACCCAAGCTCATTCTGGAAACGTAGCCCCGCGGACGTTTCTGGAGACCGCGATTTACGTGGCCGGAGGTACGTAAGGCCGCGTTTAGTTTTTTTCGAGCGAACGCTGCGGGGCGGTGTGGCACCGCTCCGCCCCTCCTCTTCGCGCTCGCCGTCCGACGGCTTGCCTCCGAGTGGAGGGCTTTCCCGATGAAACCAGTTTGTCCGCTTAGCTCACAGCGTTGCGTCGGCGGAGCGGAGGCCCCGGAGGAGGAGGAGGAGCCGGCCGCGGGGACGACAACCGGGATCGAGTCCGGGGAACAGTGGTTCCGGAAATCAGGTAAGACGAAAAATGGAATCCGAAAAATAAGGGCGAGAACGCGGCGGGATCCGAAAACACGGTCGAAATCGAAGACGAGGGCTTTTGTTTTTTGTTTTTTTTCAGGACGGCTTTTGCGAACCATCGCTCAGGTTTAAGGAAGGAGGAGGAGGAAGAGGAGGGCGGCTGAGTCGGCCAATCCGGCGGCTTTTCGCGCGAGAACAGCGCGGGCGCGCCCGAGAGGCGCCCAAGACGCGAAAAAGAAAAGGCTCACCAAAGACAGCGGCCTCTTCGCGGATCCGCGAAAACAAAAACCGCTCGAATACATACCTCCCGGGACGTAAATGGCGGTCCGCAGAAACGTCCGCGGGGCTACGTTTCCACAATGAGCCCGGGTTGAATGGGTTTTTGAAAATGACCTTCCATGCAATGTGTAACACAGTGACTGAAAACATCCAGCTAAAGTTTAAATCTGAAAATGCACCCTGTTTAAAACTATTGATTCTTTAATGAAATAGCTGACCCAGAGTCAAATAAATGAATCGTGTTGGGTTTGGATCTTTTGTCTGAATGCATCGACATCGATACGGTAAATCACTAAATATGTAGTACTGGATCCAGTAAAACATGAATGAGCCCTTCCTTTCAGGGATCATGCGACACAATTGTGATTGTGACACGAAGCTGGCGATCACTGACAGATGGAGATTTGGCTGCGGGGAATAAAGGGTTTGAGTTCACTTTCACAACAACACCACAGTAAAGCCAACCTAAAGCTGTGTTTGTTCTGTCATTTTTCTGATGATTGATACAATACCCTATGCTGCAACATGGGATTCGTCGGCCGTTTGCTATTAAATGAATGAGCAGCAGAGACTTTCATGTATGGGACTTTGTCAGACTTTGACAGGGACTTTGTCAGTAGCTGTTACAGTTTATATGGACCAGTTTCTTCTTCCTCCAGATCATAACATGTAAGTGTGATTAAAATTGTTGCCTCGTTTTCTGTAGTTTGCAAAATATGTATTTAATAGTGTGTTGTAACTTGTAATCACCCCACGCAACATGTAATCACATATCTATATTAGATTAGTGCTTGTACTGTATCTCTCAGGTAAAATCTTTATGTGTTTTTCACTTATTGCACCAAAAACCACGTTGATAACACCATGAGTGCTCCTTCCTTTACCAATTTAAATGTGTTTCTGAACTCGCGATCCTCTGTTGTTTGTCTTTGCTATGGCCACCATAAGCTGTTCCTCACACTCGCAGCATGGTCAATTTTTAAAATAATTCAACTTTTGCCAATGTGTGTATCGCAGAATGAATCATATGGGAGTCGTTGGGATAAATAGATAAAAATACATGCATATTATAAGACAATAAAAGTGTTTTTTTGACCTTGCAAACATATATCCAGTTGTTGGAGCCTCCTAAAACCAAAATATGACCTTTTATAATGCATAATAGGGGCTCTTTAAAATAAAAAAAGTTTTAAAAACTATAATAAACTAAATGTACGCACAACAGCCTGTCCAGCTCAGTGTCCTCAGGAAGCTAAAAACACAAACTGAACTTCTAAACAAATTTTATTATAAGTAAAATAACTAAACCATTATGGTAAATATTTTTTTTTTGTTAAAAGTTATATTAAGATGTGTTGTTAGTGATTGTGTGGGTGTTTGCCTGATCAGGTAATTTTACACTGGAAAATTAACACCCGTTTAAAATGATTTAAGACCGACAAATATTTGAGTGGATCTAAAACCTTTGAAAGCAATTCTTTGCGATTTAAGTCTTTTTAAGACCCCAAAGACATCCTGTATATAAAAAAACTACATTTGAGGTGCTATACAGTAAAGTATTTGTTTATACAATGCAATACTGATGCATCATGGGACATCTTGATGATATTCAAATTAAGGGAAACACTTAATTTACCAACCAATGTACCACTTCATTCATTTTTTACTTAGGTCTTTAAGAGAAGCTGTTAATGAACAATACTGCTTGGCACTGACCACTTCCCATTTTGTACAGCTAAAATCAGGTGCACTTATTCACTTCCCTCCTGCCACTGCTTCAGAATATATATATATACTTCCCATAAAGAAAATAAGCACAGAAAAGTAGGCATCATTCTCAACCACGCATTACAGCAACCGCTCTGGGGTTCATTTCCCAAAACCAATCACAAGATCCGTCGTTACAAACATAGTAGCGGTTTGGTGTTTCCTGTATCCATCGTTCCATTGGCAAATCATTTTCACTGAATTGTACCTTAAATATGTCCTATGTAATATTATAAGAAAACAACTCTTAATAATAGATAAATAGCATGTTATCTTCATTGTTGGACACTTTTGGAGACTATTTAATATGAAATTCATTAATTTATTTTCCTTCGTATTAGTCCCTTATTTATCATGGGTCACAACAGTGGAATGAACCACCAAATATGCTAAATAGTGGATTAAAAATAGTTACATTTGTAAAAGATTCTGAAACAAAAATTTAACAGGTGCACCTCACTGGCTTCACTGGGGGGCTTCAGTCACATGATCTCGAATGGGGTCCTTCAACTAATTAACATTTTCTGTGGAATTGCTCAATTTAAAATAAGCATAGTGTCACACCAGAGGACAGGGCTTTCAGTGACATAATGTATCAAGTTCCTGTTTTTAAAAATATATGAAAGAAAAAAAATATTGGAATTTCCTAAAATAGCCACTTGTAAAATTAAGCCTGAGGTATTTATCAACGATTTTATCATTTATTTTTAATTCATAAGAGCTTTAATTTATTAACTACGCTTGGGAAAGTCAGACCATATGACAGTTGGCCATATGATTTGGTTAAAAATTGTAAAAAATGTAATAACATCATATTTACTCTCACTGTCCACTTTATTAGGTACACCTGTCCGACTGCTTGTTAAAGCTAATTTCTAATCAGCCAATCACATGGCAGCAACGCAATGCATTCAGGCATGCACACATGATCAAGACGATGTGCTGCAGTTTAAACCGAGCATCAGAATGGGAAAGAAAGTGGATTTAAGTGACTTTGAACGTGGCATGGTGGTTGCTGCCAGACGGGCTGATCTAAGTATTTCAAACTGCTGCCCTACTTGGATTTACACACACAATTGTCTCTAGGGTTTAAAGAGAATGGTCCAAAAAAGTGAAAATATCCAGTGAGCTGCAGTTCTGTGGGTGCAAATGGCTTGTAGATGCCAGACATCAGAGGAGAATGGCCGGGCTGGTCCGAGCTGATAGAAAGGCAACAGTAACTCAAATAACCACTGGTTACAACCGAGTTATGCAGAAGAGCATCTCTCAATGCACAACATGTCCAACCATGAGGCGGATGGGTTACAGCAGCAGAAGACTGGTACCACTACTGTCAGCTAAGAACAGGAAACTGAGGCTACAGTACACACAGGCTCACCAAAATTGCCTGGTCTGATAAATCTTGATTTCTGCTGGACGTTTAGATGGTAGTGTCAGAATTTGGCCTCAACAACATAAAAGCATCGATCCATCCTGCTTTATATCAACAGTTCAAGCTGGTGGTAGTGATGTAATGATGTGGAGTATATTTTCTTGGCACACTTTGGGCCCATTAGTACCAATTGAGCATCGTGGTAACGCTACAGCCTACCTGAGTATTGTTGCTGACCATGTCCATCCCATTATGACCACATTGTACTCATCTTCTGATGGCTACTTCCAGCAGGATAATGTGCCATGTCATATAGCACAAATCATCTCAGACTGGTTTCTTGAACATGACAATAAGTTCACTGTACTCAAATGGCCTCGAAGGTCACACGATCTCAAGCCAATAGAGCACATTTGGGATTTGGTGTAACGGTAGGTTGTAGGGATGTAACGGTATTGTAAATACCGTCATACCGCAATATACATTTTTTTTTATATTACCGTAGTGGCATGACTCGGTAAAACTATAGGTCTTCTGAGAAAATTTGCTCAGGCGAATGAAGCGAACGGGAGGTAGCGGAAACTACAATTCCCATCAGCCCAGGCTTGGCCATCATCCCTTGCGGTCTGTTGTCGCTACAGATACAGTAATGCGGAAATGGAGTGTGCTGCTAGAAGCGGGCATCAAAAAGAGCTGGAAAAGATCGAACCTGAAGCGGGTGTTGTCGCCGCACGCGTACTGAATAGTGGTGTTGTCGCGCGCGTTCTGATCAGCTGTGTTGTCGCGCGCGTTCTGATCAGGTGTGTTGTCGCGCGTGTACTGAATAGCGGTGTTGTTGCATGCGTTCTGATCAGCTGTGGTTGAGCGCGCATACTCAAGAGCGGTGTTGTTGCGCGCCTACTGAAGGGCGGGACGGAGGGTGTGTCGCGTCGCGGGGGCACTTTTGATCATTTTGGAAGGGAACTTTCTATCCAAGACTAAAAAGGGCATGTGCACTGCACAGGTTGAGCCCTATGCGTGCACATGCCTGCAAGTTGGGGAATACGACTAATAAGAGTCATGGGGACTGCAGAAACACAGCACACTGTTCAGACTGATGCAGACATGAGACCTCTATCTCACTCATGGCTTGTCCTCTCAAGTGGGGAAAAGACAATGCACAACGTTACCCACTGCTGTCAACCTGGGCCAAGTCATATCTCTCCTTCCCAGAAACCTCAGTCCCAAATGAGAGGGGTTTTTTCTGTTGCAGGGGACATTGTAAATACCCAGAGATACCAGCTTTTACCAGATTATAGTTATTTGATAATTTTCCTTAAAACCCATCTCTATCTAAGTGAGTGAGTGAGTGATTAAATGTTGAATTGATGAGTTTTCAACAATACTAAATTGAAACTTAATTTCTTTTACATAGTTTAATATTTTTTTGTTATTAAAATTGAAGTTCCTGTTTCAAAGCTTACAGATAGATGACTAATTTGTATGTCATTGACATTTTTGGCACTTTTTTGGAGTATTTTCAAAAGTTTTGTTTTTCCTGTAAATGATTCAATAAATACCGTACCGTGACATTCATACCGAGGTATTACCGTACCGTGAAATTCTGATACCGTTACATCCCTAGTAGGTTGGCATCATGGATGTGCAGCTGCCAAATCTGCAGCAACTGCGTGATGCTATCATGTCAATATAACCAAAATCTCTGAGGAATATTTCCAGTACCTTGCTAAATCTATTCCACGAAGGATTAAAGAAGCACTGATGGCAAAAGGAGGTCCAACCTAATACTAGTAAGGTATATCTAATAAAGTGGCTGGTGAGTGTATACATAATATAATATTAACATTATAACATAACATTGTGTGTAATACAATTTTAGATTTTTTGGAAAGTAAAAAAAAAAACACCAAATGATGCATCGTACTAGATCAGCCGCTAGTTATGTCATTGTTTGGAAAACGCACCCCTGATTTAAAACAGTACTATACATTATTCAGTTACACTTACCTCAGCTGTTTTCTTATATTGAGCGGCTTTCTGTTTATGAAGAGCATCCATTTGCTGTTCTACCTGAAAAAAAAACACAGCATTTTGTTTATTTAACATGAATTTATTTATAATGTACTATAAGAAACTGACGTACATATTTTTACATTATTAAAATAGATTCTTTCTCTTCTGAAAATAGCTCATGCGACTGAAACATTGTGTGGTTTTTTTTAGTGTTCCAGCATAGCAACACCAATGACTCAACCAACGGTGTGAGTTTGAGAGGGGCTATCAGTTTGTTTTTCACCAATAGCAAGTCAAGAACTACCTAATTCCTACTATTACATCATTTTATATATTTTAGCCGGTGCATATTTTTTATTATAGGCTCTTAAAAAGTTTGCAAGTGCCATTAATTGTACCCTGTCAGCTGTTTTTGAGAGATCTGTTACACAAAACCACTTTCAGATTTTGCTCAGATAAAAGTGTGGTTTTGGGTTCAAGAAGGTGGTTTGGTGTTGAGCAGGTTTAACTATCATGGTTCCTGCATCTCTGGAGCAGGTTTTATTCTGGGTTAGAGAACACAAACTAACACTTGAGCCATTTTTACATGTCTGATGTAATAAAGCATCTCAGTGTAGGTGTATCTGATAATTATGCGTTTTATTTGTATTAAACACATTTTTCCAGTACTGGGTTGCAGCTGGAAGGGCATCCACTGTGTAAAACATATGCTGGATAAGTTGGTGGTTCATTCCGCTGTGACAACCCCTGATAAATAAAGAGACTAAGCCAAAGGAAAGTGAATTAATGAATGAATGTATTCAATTAATTAATCATTAACCATTATAATTATTAGATATTCATATAATCTTGAATTGTCAGTTAATAACAAACAAACTTTAAATCATTTTTGTGCTCTCTTTGTGAACCTACATAAACTATTAAACTCAGTTGACTGACCATTTAGGGCAATTTTCGTTCAGCTTCCTTCTCAAACTTCCACTAAATCAGCAGGGTTTATTTCACTCTTATAAATATGTTTTAATTCAATATATTTCTGATAACTTCATCTATTAATCTTCAACAAGTGAATTACGCAAACCACCTCATGTAGAATAAACTACCCTGAAGCTCTGAGCATATCACAAACTCTGTATTGAATTCTAAGTGTAAAATAGTTATATTGAGTTTATTGTGAGACCAATAGCCTTGACCTATACCAAACTATAACCGCTAAACCTCACCTAAAACCAGATTGGATATATCTGATTTGGTCAACTCTAAAAAGACTCTGAAATTGGGAGGCGTTCAACAAGCAACAGGCATGTTAACCTAAATAAATATGTGTCTTGAGGTGTTAGACAAAACTGCCACTTCCTTTCAACTCTAAAGCAAATGTTATTTAGCGATTAAGTTAATAGTAACTGGATATACACCTTTATATTGGTGGTTTCTATGGTTTTCATTCTGTTATCAATAACTTTGCAGCCACTATAGTTTTAGAGTAGACTATTGCCTTAGTGTCCATTTACACTTGTTTTTTAATTCACTGCAAAAGTAGTCCCTTAACAACTTTCCAGTAAAAGTCAGCTTAACGCTAAACCTAGTCTAACACTAAGTACTAATATTCTGCTAATTCTTCATTCATCTTATATTTCTATACACTGCAAACCCTGCTGTTGGCATTAATAAAAATTTTAAGTTAATATAACTTCACAAAATACCAAGTTTTGGCATCAAAAATTAAACTGGTGTGTTTAACTTACATTTTTAAATACTGTTGTTTAAAATGATTGGTTGCGTATAAAATTCTGCCTTGACAACCATGCTGGGGTGCGTTTATCAAACAACAACATAACTCGCGGCTGAACTATCATAGTGCGATGCATTGTTTGGGAAAAGAACAATGTATTGACAAGTGTTTCCCCAAAACCCATAGTTTCTCTGTCGCAGATCCATTGTTTGAACCACATTAGTTATAACGTAAGACGCCCATACTGATGCTCTAAACAGGGTGGAGTAACTACTTCTTTAGAGAAGAACCCGATAATTTATTTGTGCAAATTATATTTCTTTACACACACACACATAAAAAAAAAACAATATTAGTTTTGGTAAAAACATGCATTTTCCATATTAATTTAAATATATATAAATGGCACATATAGAGCCTGTTTTTTCTTTACAAATATTATTAAGAATATTACATATTCTATTCTAAAATCACTTACAAAAGCTAACACGTATTCTAATCTCATATATGAATCATGTAAATAAATAAATAAATAATGAGGCTATTTATTAAGAAATGAAATTTAATATTTATTATTTATCAGAAAATGAAAAAATCCTACTTTAATAACGATATTAATGATGATGAATATGATGAAGATTTTATTATTATTATAAATAATAATATTAAGTAGGTTATTGTTTTTTTTTTAAAGTCTACTTTCACAATTTGACACATGCAAACTACTGCAGAAATGTTCAACAAGCCCATGTTGAACAAAAAAAGCATTAATGTATGCTATGTTTCTAGTTTTCACAAGTTTTGGAGACATAACACAAAATACGCTTTTAAATAATTGGTCATCTATAGCTTTCGTCATGACTCAAGAGCCATAGCTGTGTTCAAAATGACATCAATGTTTTCAATGTGAACTGCTAAGGGAAAGCAGCTGTAAACAGGAAGATCGCTAAGACTGAACTGTAAAAATGCTTTGAAGCAAATTACACCTAAGAGTCATGACTATAATGCTTTTTTAAAAATAATTCCAAGTTTAAATGTTAGAATGTTCTAAATAAATAGGGCATAGAGGGGATAACAAGGGACCAGAACACAGGCAGGAATTGTTTATAACCACAGCTCCAGAGGTACAGTTGCAAGCATACAAGTTTGCGATGCAGCTTGCGGAATGTTCGTTGGAACGATGGATTTGGGAAACACCAATTTAACGAACTATGTTTGTAATGAGGGAACTTGTAACTTTAGTTGGCTTATGATAGTTTTCGGAAACGCACCCTTGATTGGTCGATACATGTTATATGACACAAAGTGGTCATTTTGCTTGTGATGCTGAATTTTGCTAATGCGCAGCAGCAGTTTAAAAGTAAGTAAGATCATTAAATTGGCACAATGGGTAGCGCTGTCACCTCACAGCAAGAAGGTCGCTGGATCAAGTTCCGGCTGGGCCAGTTGGCATTTCTGTGTGGAGTTTGCATGTTTTCCCCGTGTTTGCATGGTTTCTTACGGGTGCTCCGGTTTCCAAAGACATGCGCTATAGGTGAGTTGGATAAGTAAAATTGTCCGTAGTGTATGTGTGTGTTGAGCGCTGGGCTAACGATCCACCTCGTAAAAATTAGATGTTATGAACCACCCACCAATATCCACTGATCATAGAAATGTCCCTGCCAATCATAAAATCCACTTTTAAAAAAAAAAATTGTGCTGTCAACATTAGCCTAGACACACAGAAAGGGTAAAATCACGTTCTCATTGGTCCATTTGAATAATAAGAAAAATTCAAAAATATTACTAATCCAACTTTTGGTCTTTCAAGCCACCCGAACCCCTTGGCTATAAGCCTAAAACCTAATAAATTCTATTAAGAGAGGATTAATTATTAATATATTTTAATAGCAGTTAAATAAACAGTAACAGCATGTATATATAAATCAGAATTATTAACCCCCCTGAGTTATTATCCCCCTTGTTTATTTTTTTCCCCAATTTCTGTTCAACGGAGAGAAGATTTTTTCAACACATTTCTAATCATAATAGTTTTCATAACTCATCTCTAATAACTGATTTATTTTATCTTTGCCATGATGGCAGTAAATAATATTTGACTAGATGTTTTTAAAGACAATTCTATAGCTTAAAGTGACATTTAAAGGTTTAACTAGGTAGGTTAGAGTAATTAGGCAAGTATATAACTTTAAATAGATGCTTTAACTGACTTCAGCTGTATTTTATATCCTCAAGAATAAATGCATATATATATATATATATATATATATATATATATATATATATATATATATATATATATATATATATATATATATATATATATATATATATATATATATATATATATATATATATATATATATATATATATATATATATATATATATATATATATATATACAGTTGAAGTCAGAATTATTAGCCAGTTTCTGTTTAATGGAGGGAAGATTGTTTCAGCACATTCCTAATCATAATAGTTTTAAAAACTCATTTCTAATAACTGATTTGTTTTATATTTGTCATGATGACAGTAAATAATATTTTACTTGATATTTTTTAAGACACTTCTATACAGCTTAAAGTGACATTTAAAGGCTTGACTAGGTTAATTAGGTTAACTATGTAGGTTAGGGTAATTAGGCAAGTTATTGTAAAACGATGGTTTGTTCTGTAGACTATCGAAAAAAAAATTGCTTAAAGGGGCTAATAATATTGTCCCAAAAATGTTTTTAAAAAAATTAATAACTGCTTTTATTGTAGCCGAAATAAAACAAATAATACTTTCTCCAGAAGAAAAAATATTATCAGATATGCTGTGAAAATTTCCTTGCTCTATTAAAAATAATTTGGATAATATTTAAAAAAGAAGAAAAAAATCAAAAGGGGGCTAATAATACTGACTTCAACTGTATGTATATATATTTCAATGTCAAGTGCAAACCTACGACTTTGTAACGAACTGAGGCAAACGATTTCCTTAAAGTAGTCAACTTATTAGGGTTTACAGTGTAGGGAAACTGATTTTGAACAATACCTGATAAACCGGCCTCTTGTGAGCTCTGAGGTTGTTGACCGATTGTAGTGCTTTTACTCAGCCCATCTCTTGGCATTAATTCAGCTTACTTTTAAAATAATCATGTTTAATGACAGAATTTATTTTAAAAAACTGCATTTCCAATGAGCCTGTGCAGAAAACGTTCGAGGTTACTAAAGTAACCCTTCGTTCCCCGAGGAGGGGAACGGAAGCACTATAAGTGGATTTGATTTGTAAAATCCACGCATTGGGAGGTTCGGTTCAGAAGCTACTCGTCTGAAAGAGTAT